GTCTTGTCCGAACTGGTGGACACACAAGACGGAAACGACCCGACCGATTCTCTTCCTCCCGACAAAAGATCGGGCCGTGTCCGTCTCAGTGGACACGAAGGGTAAGAGTCTCTGTTTAAGGAAGTAACACGTCGAGAAGACAATTGGACACTTGTCTTGTTACCTCCAACTGCTGTCACCTGTTGTTTATTCAACGGTAAAACAAGTTCTTTGATCTGACAGTTTGTTTTTGTTTAGTTTTAGTAGAGGTTTTACGGCGCTCGCAACTGTATAAGATCAAATGAGCGCAGAAGATTTGAGGAGTTACAAGAGAGTAACAGACATTAAAATGAAGGAGGGGAGATAGAGAAGATAGATTTTTTAAAAGAAAGAAGGAGCAAACCACACCAGAGCACCCGCCAACCACCCATTGACAGTTTGTTTGAAAAGCAGAGAAGCACGTCGACAAGATAACTGTGGGTGGTTGGTGGGTGCTCTGGCGTGGTCTGCTACCTGTTTCCAATTTGATATCAGTAACTGTCGTCCTCATCTTCTCTCCCTCCTTTCTTTGTATGCTACTCTCCAGTAACACCTCTAATCTTTGGCCCTCATATGACATACTATTTGAGTCGCAAGTTCCATAAAACACGATAACTGTTATTTAATGCAAAGAAATAGAAAGATAGACAGAAACAACAGAAAGACGGAATATCAAAAGATGATGTAGGCATGACATAATCATTTAGTTACAACGCTCGTGTCATTAGACATTGAATAATAAGCTACCGTATTACTTCAGAATTTGACTGTGTTGTCCCTCCCTGCTTCACAATGTCAGTATTGATGGTAGTTCGGAGGTTCAATCGGATTTGTTTAAGGTAGCCACCCATTGTCGAGGAGAAAAGTGTTTGTCATAGACACGTGGGCGTCATGGACAGTGTCATCATGTTTATTTAAGAACACACATGGGGGGAAGTGGAAAGTGTTCGTTTGTACAGGTAATTGTCTTGGACAGGTGACCCGTTTCAGCAGGTTCGACTGAATATACAGGGTGACTAAAAAAGAATCAACGGATCTCACTGGCCAAAATGTTAAGGAGAAAAAGTAATAGAAAACTCAAGCTTAGTCACAGGTATTGTACTCACAATCAAATTTTATTTCCTGTCTTACAAGTATTCAATGTGGCCACCACTAGCAGCACAGGCATCATCAATGTGATTAGAGAATTGGTCACTTTTAAGGACAATCGGGTAACCCAGATTTCGGGGGTTTCCAGAAATCTTGGCCTATACCAAAAGTGCACCTATAGGAGAAGTTTGGTTTCATTGGTGTGTATAGTTGTTGGTTATAGAAAAAATCCCTCCTTGTGTTTTAAAGATAGAATTCATGTGTCCAAACACTTTACCTTTGATTGTCTTAAAACAGCATTTTTCGGGATACCCCCCTTGTGCTTAAAAGAGACCAATTTATCTTAGACTCATTTCAGCATATCACGGTCCACTGGGTTGATCTTTATTGTTATTCGATGTTTAAGGCCATCGAGTTTAATGGGCAGTGTTTGAACATAAACGTAATGTTTTGCATATCCCCACAAGTAAAAATCACTCACGGTGAAGTCTGGGGATCTAGCAGCCCAAGCACAGAGAGTCTTAAGCACCTTTCCGACTAATCCATCGCTGAGGCACTTTTCCCTTTAAACAAGCTAGAACCATCAGATTTCAAAGGGCGGTGCTTTATCTTGTTGAAGAATGAAGTCATGCGCATCTTACTGTATTGATGTAAAGATCCAGTTTTGAATCATACCAAGACAGATTTCTCCTGTAACTGCATTTCCTTCACAAGAAGAATGACACGACAAGAGCACCACATGTAACAGCTATTCAAAAGTTGATAACTCCTCTTTCAAATGGTAACTGACCCATTCCATAACGATGCTTGAGAACTGCATCAATGCGTCATAAAATCATTTCATTCTTTTTTTTTTATTCACAAGTTATATAACTTCCCTTTCAAATGGTCACCGACTCATGTCTTAACGATCCTTGAGTACTGAAGCAATGCGTCATAGGATCGGTTCATTCTTTTTTTTAAAACCCTAAATAACTGGCTCTGACATTAACGTAGACACGCGTGTTGTGATTTGAGACTACGTGCAAGGATCAATTATTTACCGCTCCAGTTCACTTATATAGAAACAGTGTAACACAAAAAAAGGCCTTTGGCAACAGGAGACACGGTTCAATGAAACAGCAATAATAATATGTTTAATTTATGTAAGCAAAAGGGGCTAATTAGTTGCAATAAACTCTTTCAGTTACTCATAATAAACTTCCTTAGACTCCATTCTTTTCTCTTAGGAATTATAACTGTGTTCGTGGTATAGACGGGTTTTTTTGCGAAATAAGTTGTCTTTTACCCTTTTTAATTTTAGTTTCAGTTTTATTAAAAGTTTTACGGCACTTACAACACAAATCGGTCATGTAAGTGGCTACGATTAGAGGAACTGCTACTGGAGAGTAACATACAAAGAAAAGAAATAGGCGAGACAGGCCTATATGAATATTTTTGATTGGAAAGAAAAAAAAAACTATATAGAAGCACCGGTTAAATATCCACGAAGCTAATTAGATATGTCTATAAAAACATGCCGTTTCTTAAAACATCCCATAGACTCCGTTCGATGGCGTAGGAATCATGTTCGTAGAATGGGTGTTGTTTTTTT